CGAGGAGCAGCGGCGCCTGGTGGAGAGCACGGAGGTGGAGTGTTACGACTCCCTCACGGGTACGCCGTCGGAGGGTGGGGGATGGGGCACAAGGGGAGGGGGCAATGGGGAGAGCTTGGCGACTTGTGGCGGCAGGGACCCTGGGGCTGAAGAGTCCAGGGCTGTGGGCTTCTGGGGGAGACTTCAGAGCTTGATCAAGGAAAGGGATTAGGGGTAGGGGATAACAGGGTTCTGTGGCTAGAGGGAGCTGGGATGCAGGAAATGGTCTTTGGGTCGGGTCTTCAGGGCCCCGCTTCCCCTGAGTCATTCTTTCTACCCCCTGGCTCACGTGGACCTAAGGTGAGGAAGTCTTCCCTGAGCCAGCTGCTCGAGGTCCCGGCCCTCGCCCCGGTGCGGGCCCTTAGTGCTCTTGCCCACCGACAGCTCCGGGTGGATCGCCTAGCGGCGCCAGTCCGTGTTTTGGCGCCACCTAGCGGCGGCGCAGTTGCGTCTGTTTTGATAGGCGAGCGGATTGGCGCCCCCGGTTGTCGGAGCAATCCCTTAGGCCGGGTTCTCTGCAGCCTGGAGCCCCGGCTCCTCGAGGTCAGGTGGGTTTTGGGGGTGCCAGCAGGCTCTGAGAGTGCCGGCCCCGCCGCCCCCGCAGCTTGCCTGCTGCAGTCGGAGCTGGTAAACTACGAGCGCGTGCGCGAGTACTGTCTCAAGGTGCTGGAGAAGCAGCAGGGCAACTTTAAGGCCACCTACCGCGCCGGCATTGCCTTCTACCACCTGGGCGACTACGCACGCGCGCTGCGCTACCTGCAGGAGGCCCGCAGCCGGGAGCCCACAGGTGAGTGGCGGGGTCGGGTAGAGGTGAGGGCTGGGCCCAGGGCGGGGAAAGGGGCTGGAGCGGAGGGAACGGGCAGGAAGATCAGGGCAGAACAGCAGAGCCCTCCTCCCGCGGAGCTGCCTCTAGGGAGAGCTGTGCCACCCACCTACTACCTACACGCCCACTCATCCATTCATCCACCCCGCCCTTCACCTGCCATTCAAACATCCATCCACCTATCGCTCCTCTGACATCTCCCCAGTCATTTCTCATCTACCGTCATTGCCACACCTGATATCTCCTATTCACCTGCTCAGCCACTTCCCTATCCACCCATTGTCATCTCAATTACCCCCTCCTACGGCCGCCTACCGCCCACACTCATTCCTCCACTCACCATTCACACACACCTATTCATTCACTGCCTCCACTATCCACTCATCCACTCGGGTGGGCGATGCCAGGAAATTGGTGTGTGTGTGTGTGCGTGCATGTGTGCACTTACACACATGAGTGCAGGAGGGCAGACACAACACTCGGTTTTGTATTAAGAGCCAACGAGGAAGGAAGAGAGATTACAACAGGTGCAGAGTTGTGGGAGCAGAGACGAGATTAGTTTTCCCGTTAAGTGGCTGGGAGAGAACAGACTTCTTGCAGATGTCACTGGAGGATGAGAAGTGTGACAGGAGCCTCTGAGAAGAGGCATTCCTGGCAGAGGGTGCTGCAAATACAGGCACATAAAAGTGTGCGATGCCTCTGCTTTGCTGGCTGTGGCTGTGGCTTTGAGGAAGGGCTCTGGCTCTACTGGCTGTGTGAGCGAGCTGCTGGAGACTTCGGAGAATGGGGTGTGAGCCAGGGTGGTGTGGAAGTCACCTGCTGCCCCAGGACACCCAGATGATGCCCTGCCCACCTCCCCTGCAGATACCAATGTGCTCCGTTACATCCAGCTGACTCAGCTGAAGATGAACCGTTGCAGCCTCCAGCGGGAAGACAGTGGGGCTGGGGCCCAGACTCGGGATGTAATTGGCTGAGGCCAACCCAGGGGGACCTCTCTACCCCTCACCCTCCCACCTCACCATGTAACTTCCCCGACTCATGTGTTCGTTGGTAAAACACTTGTCACTGGTGATCACAACTTCTTTGTGTGGTGTTCTTGGGGGGACCAGGAAGGGCCTCATCCCTTGGACCTTAGAAACCCAGAGAAGCCCAGGAGGGTGTGTGGGGTTGGGTAGTGGGGGGGAATGTTCCGCTAGGATGACCCAGCATCAGGGCCTGGGCCAGGGAAAGAAACACAGTCTAGGCCAGGCGCAGTGGCTCATGCCTGTAATCCCAGCACTTCGGGAGGCTGAGGATCACTTGGGGTCAGGAGTTTGGGAGCAGTCTGGTCAACATGGTGAAACCCTGTCTCTACCAAAAATACAAAAATTAGCCAGGCGTGGTGGCGGGAGACTGTAGTCGCAGCTACTCATGAGGCTGAGGCAGAAGAATCACTTGAACCCAGGAGGCGGAGGTTGCAGTGAGCTGAGATGGTGCCACTACACTCCAGCCTGGGTGACAGAGCAAGACTCTGTATCCAAAAAAAAAAAAAAAAAGGAAAAAGGAACACAGTCAAGTACGGTAGGGGGCAGGGGTTACCTTTAATGCTCCATTTTGTGCCAAATCCCCCATGATGCCCTGTCCCTGAGTATCCCTGCCCACCCTCTCCCCAGTGCAGGGCGGGCACAGGGCTCCACCCCCTGGGGTACAAAGGAATAAGTTAAGTGTTCCCCCCTCCCTCCTTCCCCAATAAATAGAGTGAACATCCTGCCCAGGGCCTCCCCCGCCTTGTGGCATGGCGGGCTGGGGCGGGGCCTGGGGCGCTACATTCATGGCTGCCCAGGCGGGCGGTGGTGGGCAGGCCTTAGTGGGAGCCGTGGGCCCCACACAGGGGCACTGTGCTGTCCTGGTTCTGCCCCTCCATGTCCATGTCCAGCAGCGTAGGCTGCATGCTGGGGGGCCCAGGGCTCTCCGGAGTGTCTGGCCTGCTGGGAGGCGAGATGGTGAGTGTCCGGCCGAAGGAGACCAGTTTCCAGGGGTCCAAGCGGGGGCGACTGGCAGCCGGCCGAGGTCTCGGGGCAAAGGTCAGGGTGGTGGGGCGGCCTGGGAAATCGGGGGGCCGGCGGCGGGCTGGAAACAGGGCCTGGGGGTCGGGCAGGCGGGGGAAGTCCAGAAGGTCACGAGGGCCTGGTAAAAGAGGTTCAGAGGAGGTGAGTGGGGTGGGGCAGAGGGTGGCATTAAGAAAAGCCCAGAGCTTTTATATGAAAAGCATGAGTTCTGGTTTCTCTCGAGAAACCCATGGATCTTGCTGCATCCAATTTCCATCTGCACTGTGGCAGTCCTGGGACCTTGACCTAGGCTGGGACCACTCCCAGCTGCTTGCTCCTCTGGGTGGACCCTGGCATGTTCCTCAACCTTCTGGAGCTGCTGCTTAGCAGCAGCCACTGGGGCCAAAGCCCTGGTCTTCCTGACTCTCCTGCATTGGGCTAAGCTCACGCACAGACCTCAGGCATGGCTTATCTCTGAAGGGGGATAAAAATGGAGCCTCACTGCACGGGTGAGGAGCAAATAAAATGATAACTTACAACAAGCAGCACAGTGCCTGACGTGGGTACTTAATAACACTGCCATGGCCGCATCTCCCACCCAGTTAACAGATGGAGGAGAACAGTGTCTAGGCTGTGTAAGAATTGGCAATAGCCATGCTGGTCACCACTGCTAAAGGCACCTGTCTGGCCTTGTAGGCATCAGTTTGCCACCTGTGTCTCAGTCCCCTGGAGATCCCCAATGCCTCCAGGAGTGAGGGTAAAGGGACACAGACCCTCCTTAAGCAGGAGGATTGGCTGCCTGAGGGGTCATGGCTGGGCTGCACTTGCGACCCTGGCAGAGGAGGAAAGAAGGAGTTTTCTGCGGCCTGGGTGCGGGGCACCTCACTCACCAGGGCCATGGCCCGCGGGCTCGGGAGGCCCCC